ATAACATAATTGAATGGTTCAAATAATTGTATGAATCAATAACTGTTCAACTCATGCCAGTAAGTACATTAATATTTGATGTGCTAAATTAAACAAAGAGAAAATTGGGTAATATTTACAGTGCGGAAAGCTCATTAACATGAAGTATTATGCATGGTGAGTGACAAAATTATTGGGAAAAAGGTTAATGATAAAATGGACAGTGGCAGCATCTTTGTGGATGTGGTGCAGATTTCAGCAGGATCTTCTCATAAAAGCTTCTTTGTTTTTTTCTGCTTAGTAAGGAATATATAAATAATTTATTTGTACATACTTCTGTACATGATTATTCAAGTGTCCTCACATGTTATTAAAATCCATTAATATTTTATTTAAATGAACTCACGTTTTTATGTTATTTTACATAACTTATTATCGATAACAATTATGTGCATCCCACACCTCTCCCCGACATTTATTAGCATGAAACTTTGATCAACGTATAAGTAGAGCTGTTTAATTGAACCGACACAATTCAATTTGACTTATTCCTTTAGTTAAACAAGTCAATTTTTATGATCACACAAATTGTGTCCACCAACAATTGTTTACAATTTTGAATTTGTTAAGCAAACCGAACATTTGACTCATTTGCTAAACGAACACGGGTTTGAACACAAATCCTCGGCTCTCTGATTTCTTTTTTTTATTTTATTTATTTTTTATTTTTTTTATTTTTTTTGCTACATTAATTGAAAATTCATTGACAGAAATGAGGCACAGTCAATGTTGCGAGTCCTATGGTCTATGGCCTATGAATGTATATCCATTTTGTGGAAGCAAAAATATTCTGCAGCCGAAGAAAGTCATTTAATTTCAACGGAAAGGTACAGCCACGTGGAACGCTCTAAGTGGGCCTAGGTATCTCGTAGCACATGGTCCACCATGTCCTGCGCCGTGGACGATAAAAGTCGACAGCATAGGTGGCAGCCCTACGACTGCGAGCCCCCGGGCCCCTGCCCTTCAAAGCCCCAACCAAACAAACACAGCCGTAGCAGCAGCGGCGCATTGGCCGTCGGATAGGCGCGTGGGGATAGTGGGTCAAGGTACAATAATGAGGGAAGAAGCTGCATCGGCATTCAATTGGACGCCATCTTTCTTTCTCCTTTTTGAGGTCTTTGATAAAGATAAGTGTTACAAGTCGTGTCACTCTCAACTGGCTTTGTTGAACCCGCCGTATTTTTATTTATTATTTTAGAGAGTAAATTACAAATTTGGTCCCATTAGATTAGGACGGTCGTAATTTTAGTCTCAAGAACCGCAATTTCAATTCTTAACTAATTTTTGTTGCGTAATTGGTCCCAAATCTAACTGACCGTGAAGTCACCATTAAATTTCAAGACTAAATTTTCAACTGTGGGACTAAATTTGCAATTCTCTCATATTTGATATATATAAAATAACTTTTCATTTTTATTTTTATTTTTTATAATTTCATTCACCTTTAGAGTTATATTTTTATTTTTTTATCAACCACTATAATCATAATAAAATTAAATGATGATTTTCTAAATATATTTATTATTTAATTAAAAATATTTGAAATATAGAAAACATTGTATTGCAATTAAAATTTTTGATATATTAATAATAATATAAATTTAAATTTATTTGTATTTATATATATCAAATATATTTAAGTTTATATTTTTTTATATTAAAAATAATATAAATATTTTTATTATATATCAAATATGAATTAATAAAAAACATACTTGTTATATATCAAATATGAATTTAAGTTTATATTTGTGTTATATTAAAAAAATATATAAATATGAATTTAAAAAATTATTCAAATAATATTTTTGTTATATATCAAATATGAATTTAAGAATATATATATATATAAGACCAGTCCGATCAACCAATTCTGACTGGTTCATTGAAAACCAGTTCGTTCAAATGAATCCAACCATTTGACCGATTCGAAAAATTAAAAATAATAGTAGTTGATATTATTTTAAAAATAATAGTAGTTGATTTTAACTTTATTTTTATTTTTAATTTTATTTTACGTTTTAAATTTTTATTAACCTCTAAAATTATATTTTTATTTTTTCATCAACCAATATAATTATAATAATATTAAATAATTATTTTGTAAATATATTTATTATTTAATTTAAATATTTTAAATACAGAAAACATAATAATATAAATTCAAATATATTTGAATTTATATATATCAAATATATTTAAACTTATATTTTTGGTATCTAAAAAAATATAAATATTTATTAACTAATTTAAAAAATATATATTATTGACCAGTTCATTTAACTAATTCTAATCGGTTCATTGGAAACCAATCCGTCTATAGGAATCAAACCGTTCGATTTTCGATTCAACAACAAGTTTGACCGAGCTTTGAAACCAATAGTAGTTGGTATTACTTTTATTTTTATTTTTATTTATAAATTTGATTAACCTCTAGAATTCTATATTTCTTATAAAATTAAATAATATAATTTTTTAAATATATTTATTATTTAATAAAAATTAATTTTAAATATAAAAAATATTGTATAGTAATTATTATTATTATTATTATTATTATTATTATTATTATTTTTGTCTCAAAACTAAATTTTTACTATCAAATATTGTTATATACTCACGGAATAAAAATTGCAACAAAAATTAGTAATAAAACTATTTTTTCAATATTTGGGACTAAATTTATAACAAAACCAATCTTATGGGATTATATTTGCAATTTTCTCCCTTTTCAAACTGATGACAAACGGTTGACTTAACGGTCAGTTAGATTTGGGACCATTTGCGCAACAAAAATTAGTTAAGGACTGAAATTGCACCTCTTGGGACTAAAATTACGACTGTCCCAATCTAACGGGACCAAATTTGTAATTTTCTCTTATTTTATGTTTTCTTATTTAATTTTTGTGAAACACATTTTCCAATTTCCAAGTATCAGCCATAGGTTTAGGTCCATTTAGCTATAAGGGTTGGGGCCCATCCTCCAACCCAATTACTAGCCACAGGCAGGTTTAGATGCATGTGATGTTAGGGTCTATTTTTTGCATTTTGGCCCAATTTCGAGGACCTGCCTGCACGATAGGGTCATTGGCTTGGACTGCTGGCTTGAATTAGCGTACTTCTAAGTTATCAACGTAAGTGGAAACATCTATTAAAAAAATACATAAAATATAATTAATATTTACACTTATATTGTCAACTTAATTGTATATTAGGTTGGTAATGTAACAAATGAGAAAGGGAATTTGTGAATTTGACTTTCTATTATGAATCTATATCTATATACATATAATTTAACATAGAATGTAACATCCAATCATCCATGCATTGACTAGGCAAACTTAATGAAGAAAGGAAATGGCCGATTGAGCATATCAAATTTCTGGGTTGTACAAAATTTGGAATAATTTTTTTTTTCTTTTTTTTTCCTAATTAATTTAAATGTAAGATATCATTCTTAACAAATAAAATAAAATAAATAAATAAAATGTAAGATATCATTGAAAACTACATTTCCCCTTCAATAAAATTCATAAAATAAAATTTTGTATATTCTCCTCACTTTTTGGACCAAGAAAAAAAAAAGGAAAGAAACGAGAATGGCCTGTGATTAATTTGCTTTGTCTTAAAATGGCAATGATATGTCTCTCATTTTTAATAATTGTATATTTTTTGGTGGTGTGGCTCCTCTTTGTTGGCATATGCAATCATTGACTCAGATAATCAGATTCTCGTCTTGGCCTTTTTCACCAGGCTTTCTTATGTGGACATTGTACCATTGTATAGTGTTCAAATTCAAAGATGGATGTGTTCAAATGTGATTTTTCATATGTATTTTCTTATAATTTCTTTCTTGTCTTTTCCTTTCTCATAAATCTACATGTTATACCTGCAAATTATACAAGTTTGTAACAAAATGATGTGCATTAATGTTTTTTAAGATTATACAAGACCTGATGATAACTTATTGACAATATTCATTCGGGTGACAAGGTTATTTCTTTTTGTGAACAATAAAAATGAAAAATAAAAACATAAAAGGGCAAATAGATATCTATTCTTTTTGTGAGTCTTTGGAGATTCTAACTAATCATCGACTTTAAAACCCGACTGGGTTCGACATTTAATAATTTAATTGGTTTTCGCCATATATTCTAGAGTAGTGAATCAAAATGGTCAATAATGAGAGAAGGTGCATAAAATGAAAAGACAGGAGAGGGTCTTAAGATAAAGTGAAGGTCCACAAGGCTATTTGTGGATAGCAAATTAAAGACACCCATCACACAACTCGTGATAAAACTATCACAACACTAGCCATCACATTACATTATATTTGCATGTTTCACACACACACACACACAATATCATGTTTGCTGTTCCTTCAAACTATTTTTAATCACTCAAGCCACACACAATTCTTAATTTCTTATTTTAAAGATTTGAACGCTTAAGTTCAATTATGCTAAAATCCTATCGGAGCTCACTTATTTATTATTCGAGTGGGTTGTCATTCAAAATTTTTTAAGTCTTTTCAATTATTCTCAGACAATGATAGGGTTATCACTGGTTTATCATTCGAGGGAGATTTAATATGAGATATCGTAGGGTTATCACTTGTTTATCATTCCAGGGAGATTTCATTAGATTTCGCGTTCACGTTCTTTGTATGGTTAATCCATTTCATTGTTTAAACAAGCTTACTTGAATCGTTCTATTAAGATTGACAAACTTTTGGAGTAAAAAAGTATGATAAACTATTTGAGGGCGATTGGATATGCTTTGTTGAATACCTTTCTGTTAAGTAGAGATTCTTTTCTTTAAAAAATAAAAAAAAGGTAGTAAAAGAATAATTTGAAATATGTGATTAAATATATGATAGAAATTAAATAATTATAGTTGATGTTATGTAAAAATAAGAAATAAAGAATAGTAGTTAGAAATATACATAGGTGAGTGAGTAAATAATTTTTACAGAAAAAACTATTAATGTGTTATTTAAGAATTGTAATTGTGATAATATTGAGGTATGAATCGATTGAGGTATGAATCGAAGAACTCTGCGAAAAAACAAGAAACAATGCTGAGAGCATGACTGATATGAGATCACTAGTAAAACACGAGGCTTTAGTTCTCAATGAAATATAGAAAAGGTCCAAGAGGGTAGAAGTCACAGCAACCTGCAGCATCAATAAGAGTCCAGCCACAAATAAGTCCAGTCCAATAACAAAAAAAGAAACCTTTCAGCAGATTAAGTAAATCTTTGATCATGAAACTGGGTCAGCATTGTGCCATCCCTTCGTGCACGGTGGTATGCTCATGAACTCGTCAAATTCTTTAACATGAATGTCACAACATTTCCACTGCAAAATGTAAAAAACCATGCGCGAAAAATAACATGTCAGTCGAAAGAAATTAAAATTCAAGGAGAATAGATAAATTATATTTACTATCTTACCCCTCTCATCCTGTCATGAAAAACCGGGGGGCCCGGATGGTAACTGCATGCTTCATCATGATTATCTTTCTCCTTAAAACTTTTACCACACCCCTTATTTTTACATATTTGAGGTTGGTTTATATCGACAATCTTCTTCTGTCTAGGGGGCTCTGGTTCTGGATTGGTTTCACTACATTCACTCGCGGAAGGTTTTGGCTTCAATTCTCTAACATTTGAACCTGATGAATGAGTAAAAGGGCAGAAGATGAGATAAGGGTCCAGTTAGATATGCATTCGTGTTACTTATATATCTGGGCTTCAGTATAGTGACAATAAATATTCTGGAAGCAGAAGAGGTTTGTGAGTCCCGAATTCCTGATATATGAAAAGAGTAAACTCAGAAATACCATGAAAATACAGAGCACATGTAAAAAATGGTATACTATGGGTTGGTGATTCGATTGAAAAAACCACTAGTCATTGGTGAGAAAAAGTTGCGGGTGAAAAAATATCTCTTACTAAAACAACATGGAAAATTTGGGTAGGCAATTTTAAACGAAATATCTCGATTCTGGCACCAATAAAAATATCTTTAAGATAAGGAGCCAAAGAACTAGTTATAAAACGAAAATTAAGCATTTTAAAGTCCTTTGCTTGACTGAAACTAGCCTACTATATTCAATGGCATCAGAATGATATAATTCCTCCAAAAAAGTTGTACCCTTACAAGAAAAATAAGTTAAAATTAAGATACCATGGTCAGAGCAGAAAAATCCTTGGCGGCACCTAGGACAAGCATCTTTTGTAGATGCATTGGATGTGGGAATTTGAGCAGCAACCGGTTGCCTCTGAACGGGAGGTGCCTTTTTGGCAAGCACTGGTTTTTCAGTTGTATGTTTTCCTGTCCTGCAACTTTATATATCAATAGCAGTCAGCTTCTTTTATTGGAAAAGAAAATATAATCACATACCAGAGCATGCTGACATATTATTTCGTGTGAGAAACATAAAATTTGAACATCAACTTTCAAGGGATTTCTGTCAAGTAATAATAATGACCATTCAATATAAGTACAAATGACAACTCAGTTAACAATATCAAGTTCTACAAGAGAAAATTAAAACTCCTTCCAACACAAGAAATAGACCTTTCAGAAATTGATACCAGCAATACTAACAACCCAAAATTGTAGCAACACTGCTGAGAAGAAAACTTAAGTTTTAGACCAAAAAAGAAAGGAAAACACATACCCAGGAATTTCCAAAAATAAACTGAAATCATGACTCCTTTGCTTGCAGCAGCTCCATTCCTTCATCCCATCATGAAATATTGGCTGTACAAAGGAAAACGTTGCCATTAGTTTATGGACAATATACACATTCATAGCAACTGAGGTTAAAAGGAGTTTAAGAGGATTTTCAACTTACACCCTGATGAAAGTGATGCCAGCCAGCAGCCAGTAAACGCATCACGAGTCAGAATAGAAAATATGTTAGTGCAAAATTAAAGGTGAGAACACATCATGAAAAAATTGTTGTCATGTTATTAGTTGGATAATATCCATGCTTCAAGCAGAACAAAATAAACTGCTAATGGATACTGTAATATCATTTTGGGAAGGCTAAAATATACTAATGCCACAGGCTTCCAAACTATTATCTACCCAACATACACAATAAAACGCAAGCTGAATGTACATCAATTTTGGTGCCTTACAATCATGCCTATAACGATGAATTAAATCTACTTAGTTACTCAATCAAACAGTGATCAGGTATTGGCCACTAGTTACCAGCTCTACCAGCTCCATTTCAACCTAGCAAACCCAACTTAAAGCATGTATAGAACAACATCACTTAGTTATTCAGAAAACCATCTCGAATCATTGTATACCGATTTATTTCTGCAATCATCGATTTTTGACTTGGCCTGGATTGTTGTCAGAACATTCTAATCTACTGAAGTA